TCAGCACCTCCAAATCTGAAACCATGGTCCTCAGTCGGAAAAGGGTGGAGTGCCCTCTCCGGGTCGGGGAGGAGATCTTGCCCCAAGTGGAGGAGTTTAAGTATCTTGGGGTCTTGTTCACGAGTGAGGGCAGGAGGGAGCGAGAGATCGACAGGCGGATCGGTGCAGCGTCTGCTGTGATGCAGACGTTGTATCGGTCTGTCGTGGTGAAGAAGGAGCTGAGCGAAAGGGCAAAGCTCTCAATTTACCGGTCGATCTACGTCCCAACCCTCATCTATGGCCACGAGCTATGGGTCGTGACCGAAAGAACGAGATCCCGGATACAAGCGGCCGAAATGAGTTTTCTCCGCAGGATATCCGGGCTCTCCCTTAGAGATAAGGTGAGAAGCTCGGTTATCCGGGAGGGGCTCATCGCTTCTCCTCCACATCGAGAGGAGCCAGATGAGGTGGCTCGGGCATCTAATTAGGATGCCTCCTGGACGCCTCCCTGGTGAGGTGTTCCGGGCATGTCCCACTGGCAGGAGACCCCGAGGACGACCCAGGACACGCTGGAGAGACTATGTCACCCAGCTGGCATGGGAACGCCTCGGGATCCGCCAGGAAGAGCTCGAAGAAGTGGCTGGGGAGAGGGAAGTCTGGGCTTCCCTCCTAAAGCTGCTGCCCCCGCGACCCGACCCCGGATAAGCGGTGGAAAATGGATGGATGGATGGATGGAAGAAAGATTAGCATTAACGATCTCCTGACTAGACTGCCTCGAAGTTTTTGTTGTATTTACACTGACGATGATGATGACGCAGATGTGAACAATAATACATAAATGATACAAACATCAAACTTGAATTGGCCTCGACTGATTTAAAATGGGGACACTCCCACATGACTCCACCGGCCTCCATCTGCGATTATTGGCTAATTTAATGATGGACACGCCTCGAAAGTGGCATATTTACTACATTTTAAATTTACAGTGGTTGTTTTTGACTGTGTTTACGTTAACGTCAAGAGCACATTCACGGGGTTTGTCCGAGCCGGCCGGATACAGTATGGAGACCGGGGCTTGTTGAAACATGGATAAGTTGTCACGTTGCAATATTCTTCTTCTCCACTAGAGGGCACAACTAAAAAGTGGAATACAGTGGTACCTCTACTTCCGAAATTAATTGGTATGGGGAAAGAAATTTCTGAACTAGAAAATGTTGTAAGTAGAGACACTTTTTCCATGTAAATGCCCTAATTCGTTCCAAGTGCCCCCCAAAATTCAGACATAAATGCTTCCTAAAGCATAAAAATGCATCAAAATATGTAACAAGTACATGTTACAATTAGATTATTGCACAATAAATGAGAGTTGTGCATTATGTAAAAAACAAAGAATAGAGTCAAGAATAAAAATTATGGTCATTTAACTTTTAACTGCCTCCTCATAGTTTTTTGCCCTCTTGAGTCCATGTTGTGTCTCAGAAGTGGTTTTTGGCTGGCGTTTTGTAAAGAACTCAACCGAGGACGTTTGCTTTTGTCGCTTTTAACAATCCTTCGAAAATGTCCAAGGCAAACATCAGCATAGTGAGCGATCGCCTGACTGGTGAAAACTTTTTCTGGCTGATTCACATTTACGTAAAACTATCGTAATGCCTCGTGGCCTGAGGGCCGAATGACAAGGACGCTGCACAGACACTTATCTATCTATCTACCTCCACACACGGTAGAAGTCCCTCTTAGCCAATGGGATGCCAGGATGATGCTCGGTAATAGCCAATGGCAGAGCAGCTATAACTATGTTGCGTTCAGGAAATTCGGAGCTGCGAGTCGCAGGCCATACTGTATTTTTACTTTTCGTATCTTGAAATTTCTTTCATAACAAGAGGCAATATTTTCCTGTTGAGACGTTTCGTAACTAGAAAATTTCGTATGAAGAGCCGTTCGTAAGGAGAGGTTCCACTGTACTGGTTTTCTTCTTTGCGAGCTGAGCTCAGCGTTATTGAACCGTCTTGCACAACCCAAAGTAGAACTTTCATGTTAACTTGATATATTTTAAAAACGCTAGCAGTTATACATGTGGACTTTTGATGCCAATTGAGAGCAAAAAAAAACAAACAACAACAACAAAACAAAACAAAAAAAGAATTGCAATCGTGTCACTTGATCCAGGCAGTGTAAATGTACAGTCAAGCTAAAGCATTCTTAGAAGTTACCTGCTCCCTGTTTGAGCAGTTCTGCAGCAGAGTTAGTGACTGACTGAGACATGTTCTCCACCACATCTTCTAGAGGGTCTAAAAAAAAAAAAAAGTGGGGGTGAAAAAAAGACAGTCTCACCTAAAAACAAGTCACATAATATTCGAGCAGAATCAAGTCTGAGCAAGAGTGTGTGTTTGTGTATTTTTACCTCTGTCTGGTATGATGAGTTTACAGGGCAGGGCCAAGGGAGTTATTGAATGTTGACAAACTAGTGCAGTTAAACTTCCTGTCAAACAACAGCAATGTGTTTTGTTCAATATCAATATATCATACACACAGGGGATTTGAAGCTTTGTCACTCTACCAGTTTTTTTTTTCAATTTTAAACACGTTGTTATGATTTGCTTGAAAAAAAAAGTCCTTATTTTGGAGATCTGTCCTGAATACAACCATCTATTGACCGGCAATTTTTAAAAAAAGGAATGCTTTTTGCTGTTAAGGTATTAATTCGAGGTATTATAATGCTGACAATAGAATAGTTTTCAAGCTGAAAAAGTAGGCCTCTCAATACTTGTGTTGGTCAAAGCAACTCAAACGTAAAAGCAATTATAATTCGTCTTACATAATGTACAGTATAACGTTTTGAAAGTAACTTTTCAAACACTCTCCAGGGCAGAGGTGTCAAACGTACGGCCCGCGGGCCGGATCCGGCCCCCAAAGGACTTTAATCCGGCCCGCGAGATGATTATGTAAAGCAGTGGTGTCAAACATACGGTCCGCGGGCCGTTCCATCAGGCCCACAGGATAATTTAAAAGTGAAGAAAATGCATAAAAGACACAGAATAAATATTTTTAATAAGGTGCAATTCATTGAGTATCCGCTAGGGGACACTGTTTTGATCAGAGAAGAAGACAACAGCAGCCTCAGTCCATCACTGAGACAGACCCATGACAGCAGACGCTATCAATAGCACTCTCACATTTACACATTTAATAGCACGCTCCTTAGTTTGTAAGGTGTAGGCAGGGATTACATTTAGATTTTATATGCACGTGTAAATGGTTTAAAACTTCCTTTCTTTATAAATCTCGTTTAATCTTAAAGTGCATTCCTCTATTTTTCAAAACCAATTACTTGTTAAAGTTTGTACAATCAGTGGGATCAGTTGCAATGCATATATGTGAATGATAAAAGTAAATTGCACATTTGTCGAAGGAAATGTAAGGTGCTTCACGAAATGTTTTGTAAAAGATATGTTCATTTAATTTCAACATTTTCCTAATGTTCTTGTGCTTCTT